GCAGATGCAATAACATGACTAATGGACTGGAATATATCTAATTTAATCAAACAAAACACATTGTTTCTTAAAGAACTAACAGATGGTTATTCTTTCTGTAAATACTTTAGAAATGATTAAATAGAAACTGAGTGTTTCCTTAATTTAAAGGTTTTAATTACAGATAGACTGAACAACAACAGGGCCACATGGAGGTTTTTCTTTTGTGTAAATCTGAACACCAGACTATTACTGTTTGATTAATGTATTCTATACTTTCATGTAATTACATTTTAATAAAGAGTGTGGCCCCATGTTGTGCTGTTGTGAGTACGAGCTGTCGCCGACCTACAGATCCCAAGTAATGTGAAGCTCTGATTTGGTGGAATACAGAGACGCGCACACACACACACACACACACCCAGCGACACACACACACCCAGCGACACACACATAGCGACACACACACTGCCCTCTTCAATCAGAGTCAAAGCTGTTCATTCTATGAATAAGAAGAGTGCTATTTTTATATAGCACCCCAGTGTGGCTCTCAAGTCACCCATGTTAACAGTGATATGGACTGACGTGTGTGTGTGTGTGTGTGTGTGTGTGTGTGTGTGTCAGACAGCAGTGGTGTGGCACAGACAGTGGGGTCCTAACCCACAGCTGCTCACAATGCCAACAGCCTGTCTGATTGCATCACTGTTTCACTCACACACACACACACACACACACACACACACACACACACACACACACACACACACAATGTTAGGGAGAGATGGATGGCTAAAATGTGCTTGGACAGACTTAATCTTAATTCAGCATATTTTAGAACACACACCTCTCTAATTTGTTTATATTTGTGCAGTAAAAACGGCCTCTTTGCACCCTCTCTGTTTTCTGTTCTTATGAAGCTGAGCAGAATGCTCAGTCAGTCACCGCCTGCTGTCTGTAAGCGGTGAGTTTATTTACAGGTGCTATATATTGTCTTTATTGTATCTTCAGAGAGGGATTATTGTCCGATGCCTCTCTCGTTCCTTAATTTATACCTCTTCACGTCTCTGTCCATTTTTATCGGTTTATTCCCTCTCTGTCCTATAGAGCAATATCATTCTCAATAACTCTCAGCCTTCCTTTTCCTCCGTGTCAGCGTCTCACACTCACACACACACACACACGCACACACACACACACACACACACACACACACGCACACACACACGCGCACAGTAGGGTTTCCTTGCTGCAGCTCTCTGCAGGAAACTCCTTCAGACACATCACTCACAACAGGGGCCACACACACTCATACACACACACACACACACACACACACACACACACACACACACACACACACACACACAATCTTGCTATATGTCTCAACAGGAACTGTCTGGAATAGTAGAACCTCCAGGCACGACGACATGAATGTGTGTGTGTGTACACAGGCAGTATGTCACTAGGCTTTGCCGTGAGTCTCTTTATTTTCTGCTCACTGACCTCTTTCTGACTTCACACTCTTAAATCCCTCCACAAAATAGCTTAAAGGCAAAGTGTGTGTGTGTGTGCGTGTGTGTGTGTGTGTGTGTGTGTGTGTGTGTGTGTGTGTGTATTAATGCTTACAGCCCTCTAGTGCTGATTGGTCCTCTGTGGTGTGGTTTCCCTCGAGGAGATTGACAGGACGTCCATCAGTGAGATGGATGCTCAGCTCCTGCTGGATTCACTCAGTCAGTTCATTTATTTTCTTGCACTACACGACAACATAACCTTTACTGATAGTTCACGTAGTATTTTGTGAAAAATGAATCTTAAGCTAATGTCATGTGTGGCCTCCTCCTTCCTTTTTCTTTTTTTGTTGTCCTTCCCTTGAGCTGTGCGCTGACATTCTGCATTGACGAATGGCAGAGCCGCTCTAAGCCGACAGCACACGAGTTCCTCCTCAAGGCTCTGTGAGGTTTGTGGCGATCTGTCTTTGGAGTGTGTGCGTTTAAAAATCTGTCCGATTTCAGGAGGAACTCATTCTGCACAGTGTAGGCCATCTCGCAAACAAAGCAGGCTTGTAGAAAACACTGGTGTTATCAGAAAAGTGGATATGAGGACAGTGCACAAAGATTCCTCCTTGTGGGTAACAGATTAATCAATAGTTGGAGACCTATAACTGATTAGATATATAAAGACCAAGATGGTGACGGACAAAAACCAAGATGGCATTAACCAAAAACCAAGATGGTGACGTCTAAAAAATAAAATGGCGACGGCCAAAAACCAAGATGATGACGGACAAAATCTTTTTCACAGGGTGTTTTCAGTTCATGAAAGCTAACTGTAAATATATAAGATAAATATGTCTTATTCAGCATTCGGTTGTACTTAGCGGCACCCGCTTGTGTCACAAAAAACCAAGATGGCGACGTCCAAAATCCAAGATGGCGACGGCCAAAATCCAAGATGGCGACGTCCAAAATCCAAGATGGCGACGGCCAAAATCCAAGATGGCGACAGCCAAAATGCAGAACTCCAATCAACAAACATCACAGTGACTACATCCACTTTTTACATACAGTCTATGATTCCTCACCACTATACCTCTGAATGATGATGTGATGAATAAACATGTTTATCTTTAATAATAATATAAAAATTCTAAACATAGTGCCACAATTGTTGCAAGCTTATATTAATCCTTAAAAAATGGCAAATGAAAAGCAGAAGGTTTGCTTTGTCCTCACCATGTGAGCAAACAACGGAGGCAAAGAAAGCCCTGGATTGACGGACTGATGGGTTTCCCTGCCAGACAGACGGAGTGATGGAGGACAGTCCCGGGTCCAGAGGTGAGAGGCACATCTGGTGACAGAGTGGCCCAGACAAGAGCTACTACAGCTGGCCAGCATCTGGTCCCCTCTGGCCCCCCTGGGCTCCATCCAGAGGACCTCAACCAGAAACTGGAGGGAAATCACTGAAACTCCCGGGTCTGAGTCCAACTGCTGCGACTAAGGGACGGACGGATGGATATAGTTGGTAGAAAGAAAGCAAAAAGCCAGGATCGCAGCCAGCGATGTTACACTTTGAGGACAGATGGACATAAGGAGCGAGGAAGAGGAGGAACAAACGCATGACTGCACCTTTTGAGCACCACAAGCTGAGAGCCATACGGTGCCATTATACTGGAGAGAGGGCAGACATCTCTACGGCTGGTATCTACAAAACTACTCACACCAACAATCTAGATTGATAAAAACACTGCAGGTAAGAGGAAAAATATGTATTATGTATATATTTTCCTCACAACTCTACTCATGCAGAGTTCTCTCCCACATCCCGATGCTCCCGAGGGGAACGTTAGCGAGCTAACAAAGTCGAAACACTTGTTTTTTGAAATGATACGTTGCTTGAATATTTATGTTTTTTATTCATGTGAATTATTAAGCACATTTAGAAATAAAAATAACTTGGAAGTTAACAGAAACTACAATATAACAGTACCTCTGCAGACCACCAGATGGCGCTTTGAGGCCCACCAGAGGGCCCCCATCCAGGGGTTGAGAATAGCTGTTTTCGAGCACTCCGGCTCGTCATTATCACAGCAGTACACACTTATTTCAAGCTTCGCTCTGACAGTGAGGGACATTTTACATTTCCGTCAGCGCCTCTGAAGTCCCTCAATTTGCTCTCTGTCGGCCTCCCTCTCCCTCGCGACCTTTCACCGAGACCTTTAATCAAAGCAGAGTTATACGGCTCCCCGGAGCCGCCGCTAACAAGCGAATCACACGTCCCGACGCCGCTGCAGGGATTTGGTGGGTCTGAAAAGTAGGTGTCTTCCCCCTTAATCCTACAGCAGCGAGCTGAATTATGCGTGTTGTTCTAGGCTCGGGGAAAAGAAAACTGCACCGGGGACGCCGAGTGTGAGTCAATCTAGAAAAACGTAGCTTTTTAAGACCTGAGTTGGGGTGAAAGAAGAGGGAACGAGGAAAAAGATGTCGCTCTCTGTGAATGATGCAGGAAGCTCTCAGTGTGACAAGTTCACTGTCGCGAAGCGTCGCTGCTGAGATTTGATAAATCTGGTGATGTAGCAGTTACGCAAAGTTAGACTTGGGCTTTGGTAAAATCATTTAAATTTAGGCCAACATAAAATATCCTCATGCAACGGTTCGTAGGAAAAGTCACTCATTTTTTTGTGCATTTTCCTAAGAAAATCCAGCAACACGTGACAATTTCCGCTCGTTACAAACTTCCATTTTTACAGGAAACAAGTCATATAGGTTTAGGAAAAGATTGTGAAATACTTTAGTTAGGTTTAGGCAACACAACTACTTAGTTAGAAAACTATGGTTTTAATTATCTAACACTTTAAGGACAGAAGCTTCAAGTCCTTTCCAGAAGTAAAATAAAAACAAGTGTGATTGAGTCTGAACATATTCAATTCTAGTGCTCTCATCAGTTCAGTTAGTAACGGCCAAAACCAAGATGGCGACGGGCAAAAGACAACAAATATGGCAATGGCCCAAAACAAGATGGCAACAGCCAACAACCAAGATGCCAATAGCCAAAACCAACGCATAATGGCCAAAAACCAACATGGCGATGGCCAAAAACTAAGATGGCGACGGCCAAAGAGCAAGATGGCGCTGGTTAAAAACCAAGATGGCGACTGCCAAAAAGCAAGATGGTACAGCCAGAATGCCAAACACAAGGCTTCAAACCAATGGGTGACATAACGGTGACTACGTCCAAGTCTTGCATACAGTCTATGGTTCAGGTATGAAGTCAAACTCCAACTGTCATTTTCAGCTTCCACTCTCAACAAATCCCACTTAATGAACGCTTAACTCCTGCACTGCAATGATAAAACTTAGCCTGATTAGGCGGATTTTCCTTTAAGCATCACACTCAAGGGAAACCCATCAGATGCTTCGTGAAGGGGTGTGTATGAGTGTGAGAGGAGGGGAGGAGTAGTATTAGTCATCCACTCTCACTGCTGAGATGTTCACAGCCGATGTGCGTACGGGGATTCAACCCAGCAGAAGCCTGCTTATCCTGGTTTTTTTTTTTGCAGCACCATCAACCTCACGTCGATTTTCTCTTCTCCGCGCACATTTTTTTTCCTTCTCTCTAGCAGTCAGTTTTAACGTTGGATCACACGACATCGTGACGGTGATCACACGGCGTAAACATGCACCACTGCCCTAAATATGAAGGAGTTATACAACTCAATCACCTCAATGTCCGCTTTCATCGCGGAGGAGGAAACAAAAAAAGAGCCTCCTGTTGGAAATGCACCAGTGATGTAATACAGTTTGACTTTGGCATCACTGTCGAAAAGAAAGTGTTTGTAGTAGAAATGGAGATGAAGGAAGAGAGAGAGAGAGAGAGAGAGAGAGAGAGAGAGAGAGAGAGAGAGA